TACATGGAGTAGACAAAGGTAATCAATTCTCTGTAGGCTACAACAGACAGCAGCAATCAGGTTTATAACTGTTCTTCCACAGAAAAAGGTGCCTTGGAAGTTAGAAAAGTAGCATATCAAGGGGCCGGTCATGAGAATCTTTCTTACAGATAGGCTGTTTTAATCACAGGGTGTTTTGAATATGGGGAGCATTAAGAATCATAGAATCATAGCATTGGAAGGGAACTGTACTCTCAAGATAAAGGTGAAGATATTTCCTTAGTCACTGGAGAAGACCTTGATAGCTGAAAAAAAAAATGAAGGCAATCAAAAAACAGGCTCAGAGAAAACAAGGCGGCTAGATACTATCACAGATGACATAAGCATGTGCTTACTGAAATGATGTTCATCAGGTCACAAAGAGTCAGAAGTGATTGAACCATAACAACAAAGGATACTTTACACTTTCCATTCCAAGCCTAGGGCAGGAATAAGCAATGCAGGATCCTCTTGGTTTTTGGACTAGCTCCCGTCAGCCCAAGCCAGAATGACCAGTGCTGGAAACAGTGGGAGCCATAACCTAAAATGCCTGCAAGAAACCAGGTTACCTATCCCTAGCTTTCATATTCACCAACCAGCAAATCTCTTCCAAGTCAGAAGATAGCTGGCTATAAGTCATTTGTGCCAGCTGTTTCATATCTTTTAAAACTGGGTTCTGGGATTATGGTACCAGTGGTTAATTTAGTAGTGGTTAATTTAGCAGAGGAATGAGGATCAGTCAGTCTGCAGGCTTAATCTACCAGGCTAGGCCAGGCCAGGCCAGGCCAGGCCACCTATGGAGCATCATGCTATGCAAGAATTGTTCTGATTTGAACAATGTCTGCTTTTTCCTTTTTCAAGGGCAGCCCTCATGATAAGATGCATTAGATGGGGGAGAGATCATTCTCCATGCTTCTCTAAGGCATAGAGAATTTTTCTGGGCATGGAAAGCAATCCTTCAAAAAAAGGGGGCACCTGGTTTTATTGTTGCATTAATGCATTATAATAACGCATTATTATTAATGGTTTTATTGTTGCAACACTGCATTATTATTGTTGTTCTAATTATTACTACTAATGGTGTTTAATTCTTGATTAACTGAACATCATATCCTTGATATCTGCCATTCCCCCCCGCAATAATTGGGGGGGGGTTAGAAAAACAAGCTGCTTTGATGACTTTGCAGTCACACTTAGCAGCAGATTAAACAGTGGGAGTCTTTTTATAGTTACAACACAACTGAAATGGGCTGAACTCATTTGGTAAACAATCTGTCTGCACGCTCAAGGGTGTGGTGGATATTTACTATCCATACCATAACTTGCTAGTGCCTGTTGGACAGGTAACTCAAAAGACTAGTTTGCACTGCCTTCAATTAGACGAGCAAAAGTCTAGCCTTTGTGTAAACACTTCCCTTTACTGCAGAATGAGCATCCTTTGTCATGTGGCTCAGCCATTTCCTGGTATTGCTGTTCCTACTAAATACTTCACTTTATCTCTCTCAAATTATCATACTAGTCACTTCACCACTGAAACAGCTATTGCTGCAATCTCTTGTGTCAGCTCCTTCTGGTGAACCAAAAATTTGTCCTCCTGGGAATGCTGTTGGAACTATCAGGAAATAATATGAAATGGGACTTATCGAAGCTAAACATCTGTTCTGGTGCCCTGGAACATGTGAAGAATTCAGATTAAAGAATGCCTCTGATCATGTGCTGAGAACATGGCATTATTCTTGGGTTATGATTGTAACCATGCTGATATCCACAGTCACACTGTGACTGTGGATATCAGCGTGGTTACAAGCATACCCTTGGCACTTCTAAAGCTGTGACCCATCTGACTTAATTTTTTAAATATTCTTCTAATTAAAAACATGAAGCTTGGCAAACTAGAATGCATGAAAGTGAAGTACTGGATTTATCATCCAGAAGAAAGGTACGATTGTATGGTAGAGAGCATCCCGAAGAGGCAATGCGGAACAACCTCACTGATTACCCTTCTGAACTAGGCAAGCCCAGCCATTTTGTCAGAGCATCCACAACTTCCTCTTACAATTTCCAGTGGGTTCGTGGCCCTCCAAATAGCATTATTTACCACCACAATAACAGCAACAAAATTGCCCAACCACAACTGGAAATAACTATGACTGTAAGCTTTGCTGAATTTAATTATGGAATTTGCTACCATCCGTTGTAGTGATGGGCACTAATTTATGTTTTAGAAGAGAATTGGACAAAGTTATGGAGAGTGAAGTTATCAATGGATACTAGTCTTGATGGTTGTTTACTATGGTAGCTAGCATACCTTACGTGCCAGCCATTAGGGAACAACAGCAAAAGACAGCTTTTATCTTCTTGTCCATGTTTCAGAATTTCCTGAAGGTGTCTGATTGGCCACTGCTGAAACAGAATGCTGATCAAGATGGCCTGTTCGCTTGATCTAGCAGGGCTCTTCTTAAGTTCTTTGAGCAGAAGAATCAACCACTCTGGAAAAACTTCAAAGGACATGTATTCATCCATTAAACAGTTTTCCCCAAAGAGTTTAAATCAACAAGATGTACAGGATTATCTCATTTTATCTTCATTGCAGTCCTTCAAAGAAGCTTAGAGATGGCTACTTTTCCAAAGACCACCAAGAAAGCTTCATGGGATTTGAACAACTGCATGTATGAAGTGTTCCTATTTACAAACCCACAGAATCACCCACCTTTCCCCCTCTATTATCTGCAGATTAGTATTTTATTTTATTATTTTTCTGAAAAGCACCAAACTAAATGCTTTACTATTTAATGTTAAACTGCATATATGAAACTTAAGCTAACTTTTGATGATGAACACAAGGATGATGACCTCCGGGGAATTGCTTGGTACTAAAATTTGCAAAAACTTTATGTAACTTGTATAATGTATAGGTACTGTATATATCCTCATTGGCCAATTTAAAAAGATCAAAACTAATTCTAAAACCCTTTCTGTCAGGCTTACACTACACTGCAGGGTGTCAGCAGGATTTTCTGTGGCACTGGTGCTCTGTCACAGTTGTTTATGGATTAAATCTTATTGGCCAATCTTGCAGGACTGTTCCAACCATTCAAGGAATCTAAGAGCTGGAAAAATCCAATTAAACCATGACTGAACCTCTGTTCGGTGTAGTAATCCAAATTAAGCATCCCAAGCAAAGGTCTGTATAGCTCAGTGTTGTCCAAACTTGACCACTTTAAGATGAGGGGATTTCAACTCCCAGGAATTCCCCCGCCCGCCCTCCTGCCTGGGGGGGTCTGGGCGTTTAAGTAACCCTACATTTATATGTGGAAATCTTTAGAA